TTGAAAGACTCTACAGCAAATATCGTAGCTAGCCTACTCCATTACATTTATCTGACAACATTAGGTAGGCTAACAGTTGCTTTATACTACTTTTTATTATTCAGCTTATTCTGTAGACCATAAATCAACTAACAAGTGATGATGTAGCATATTAAGCTATGTGGCAGTAAAGTAGTTGAAATTAGCCCCACCTTTACAGACTGGAACATTTAGGCTAAACATGAAGCATCAATAATTTTAATACAATGATATGATTCTGAAATATGCCATTCTGCATAATGAGTGGCCCACTGTTAGCTCTTGTACTTTAAGTAGCCTATATTTTGATGCTAATACTTTGTACTTTTACCTAACTAAAGTCTGAATACGTCAACCGTCGTCGAGGTCAGTCGAGGAAGTAGATATCATTTTGTGTCAGAATAAAACTCCAGAAATGTCTTTGAACTTTTCACGAAGAAAATGTGAAACAAACCCTCTATAAAACAAAGACATTAGCTCACAGAAGCTAATGCTAACATAAGCTAGCAAGCCGAGGGGCGGAGCTTCCGCTATAAGAGGGCGGGGCTTTAAGCAGGCTGTAAGAAACATGGCTGACACTGCAGGTAGAGCCAGTGAGTGGCTGTGTGTGAGAAGAAAGGTGACTGGTGGATTACAGTAAGTAAAGCCGGACCTGGTGGTGTTAAAGCAGCGGTGGCTTGTTTGTTGTTGCTCTTTCAGAAGCAGTGTTGATTAGCATGCTAGCTAACAGCTTTGTGTGGCCTGGCTGCTTTGTAGCTACAGTATGAGAGGTTATTTAGTGTCCCCATTTGCTGTTAGAGGTGGTTTTTCTTTAATAAGTAGCAGAGGGATGCTTTTTGTCACATATAATGACATGTAACACTGAAGACTGGTTAGCACAGGTTTTAGTTTTGTCTTAGGCAAACAATGTTTGCTAGCTTTTGCTTTGGAGGGAAGTGCTTTGTGTGTAGCCACAGGTAAAAAGCACACCTGTTATTGAGTAGGCCCAACAGACTTACCTGCACTTATACACTTTTCTTTGTTCTTTAGTAGCTCTTTATAGTTTAATGACTGAGCAGGCTGTTGAAGCTAAGCAAAAAGGTGGATATGGGGCCTGTTCAGTGTTAAGTAAACTTTATTTAGGCTATATATGCTAGCACAGTGGTTCCTAACTGGTGGGTTGCGGTCCAAAAATGGGTCTAATGTAAAGTAGGGATGCACGATATTGGATTTTTTTATTTTTTTTTGATGATATCCAATATAACAACTCATTTGGCTGATAACCGATACTGATGTTGTTATATCCACTCTTTCCCCTACCTAATTTTAGTGATCATCAAGTCTCATCTGTAGTGGAATTAGCATCATATTATACATGCATGCTTTTATTGTGACGGCCCACCAGCAGATGGAGACATGAAATACAATACTTTTCAATATATGTAATATTAATTCATTGTGCAAAATAAGAAAAAGCATGTTGGCCGAATCAGTTCATTTTAAAGCCAATATCAGCCGATACCATTGTGTACCGATTTTATCGCGCATCCTTAATGTAGAGTAAAGTAAAAGTAGTAGGCCTATATAATTATACACATACAGCATATCCATATACATATGTGTATAGACACATTAGACACAAATAACTAGAGCAAATGAATACTCTTTGAACACAATAAAAAAAAATAAAAAGAATAGACAGGAGAGCAGTTTTTAGTCTGCTTTTAAATAATGTGAATATTGGAGCACATCTAATACAATCTGGCAACATATCCCAGCAGCTGGGTACATAAAAGCCAAACGCAGCTTCACCAAACCTTTGATTTAACCCTCAAAACAACTAGAAGGCCTGAGCCAGAAGAGAGGAGCTCTGATTCTGGTTCAAACTGAATAAATTAGAGATATCAGCTCTCTGATTTGGGAAACGGTAACACTGAGAGGAAGTGCGGATGTTTAAGTTAGGTGTCTGATGGTTTCAATGAAGGCAGGGCCTGATATCCACTGCTCAGTCCAGTAATACGATAGGACATTATCTGATTCTAATCCAAGCTTTGGCACAAGATTATCATTCATATTAACATGAAATTTGAAATATCCTTAAGTCCTCAGTTACTCACACTGAAAGAAAGTGATTAATTCATCAGTGTGGTTTCACTGGACTGGACTGTTTAATAATTTACAAGCTGTATCAGTGACTCTCCAGCTCTAATAAGAATATTATCTGAGCACTTACAAGGTTTAACTTGAGAGGGTTTAGAGGAGGTTTAAAGAACCAAATAATCCTCTGGCACTCAGGTAAAAAAGAATTACAATTGGGGTTGAAGAATCCTAAATGTTCAACCACTTTCAGCTGAAAATCCAGATAAGCATTTGGCTGGCATGAAAAAGGAGAGCAGAAAGGTCGAGATGATTCAAACTGACTCTAGAAGCAAGTCTTACTCAGCACTTCAGAGCCAAAGGGCACGCAGTAGGTTGCAGCTATATCTATATCTATTTTGCTATAAAACTCACGGTTTGTACTTTGAAAGAGTTACTGCTGTAATCTGTCCTGCTCTCCACATAGACTGTTTCCACCTTTTGACTCCAAAGAGTTTTTCTAAAGTTACGAACATTTAGGCTTGTTACACCAGCAACAAACCCAAATGATAGGTTGCTCAAACAGAGATTCATTTAAATTTGAGATTAGATTTATTTGTTGTTCAACTAAGTTTGTTTAAAATGATCAAACCAGATGTAGATGTAATACCATCTGTGTTGCACAGTTTAAAAACCACATCCAGTCCAACACATTCTCACTCCGACCTTGTCACATATCAATGTTTGGTCGTGGACTTTCCATGTCCAGATATGACGTGAAAGGTACCCGGGCTGTGTTGGATGTTGACACTCTGGGATGCCATGTCATGCATTGTTTTCTTTCAAAAAGCACTACTGTTTTCGCAGGAAATTTTTTTCCAATGTTCAATGTTTTTAACATTGTTAAAATGTCTGTATGGTGTTTTTATTGATGCTTTTTATTTGCTACAAGACATGAGCGAAACTAGCAGTCAACGTCATGGCTTAGCTTTTTCGCCTACCACCGTGTGTACCGCCGACAAGACCTTTTTACACAGATATCTCGCAATACTGCCACGACGAAGACCCTTCATTATGCCAGCTTTGCTTTTTTACATAGAACCAAACAACGGCAGCATAATGGTTCCCAAGTGTTTGACTTAAGATAGCATGCGGACGTGTTCCACATGCTAAAGAGGCGTGACGTGTAACACAGCAGTGTTTGAGTCAGACAGCTCTTTCTAACCAATAACAAGGGCCTTAATGACCAATTATTGTCCCTGTTATATGGCACTGATCTGGTCGCCTGCTCAGATAGTAAGAAGCTCCCAGACCTCAGTGTCTCGGCAATTTGTGGCCATTTTCACTTGCTGTTCTTCTTGTTTGAGTTAGCTGCTAACTGCCTCTAGCTGCTTTTCAAATCTTCCAGTGGTGCGCTGTACACATAACACATCATGCTACAACTGTCTCGTCCTGCTGGCTCACACTTTTTTTTTTACACAGACAGTGATTCATTGCGGTTACTATCCCAGCAGTGGGTTTAAAGGCAAGATAAATTTGTCTCCCCATTTTGTGATGGTACTGTTGATACAGAACAGTCAAGTGGAAAAACGGCGCAACATTCCCACCTTTTAACAGTCAGTGTAAAAACGGCTACAGTTTGAAAAACATGTAATAAACCTTAGATACCAAACCCATCAACCCACCAACCCCTCAACTTGCGAAACGAGGGAAATCAGAGAACAAAGCCATGTAGTATCTGTGTTAAGTTTTATTTTCACTTTCATTTCAGCTTGTTAGAGCTGGGGTGGCACGGTGGTGCAGTGGTTAGCATTGACGCATCACAACAAGAGGGTTCCTGGTTTGAACTAAGGGTGGGGGAGCCCTTCTGTGTGGAGTTTGCATGTTCTCCCCATGTCAGTGTGGGTTTCCTCCAGGTGCTCCAGCTTCCTCCCACAGTCCAAAGACATGCAGGTTAATTGGTAACTCTAAATTGTCCGTAGGTGAGAATGTGAGTGTGAATGGTTGTCTGTCTCTATGTGTCAGCCCTATGATAGTCGGCACCGGCGACCCCCAACAGGCTACAAAAAATGAATTGATGAATTGTCACAGCTGGTGATTGAGAACAAGGTTTATCTGACATAAGCAACACATTATCTGTTTGATCTTGTAGTCTTGTGTATATAACTCATGTTATATCCTACAAGCAGTAGTTTGTATCTTTGATGAGATGAGTGAAGCTGAGCAGGTACGCTTAAGCTGCAGGCGAGCAGCTGAGGGGCAGCGCTAATTTGCAAATTCATAAATATGTACATAACAAATGAGTCAAAGGTGTAGCGTTACATCTAAGCCTTTATTAGGCATACAGTGAATTTTCATGAGAACAAAATTATGTAATTCTGATGAACAGAGATGAGTTTTAGGGTTTTAATCAATGCCTGGAGAAGAACTTTAAATTAAATCTGGGATTAGTACAAGTCAGTTTAATGAATTAAATCAAAATTGAATGTTAATTCAGGAAACAATATTCTATAGGAGAGGATAAATGAGACCCAAATCGACATTGAAACACATCAACCCCCAGTAAAGATCTGATTTAAAAGTTTTGAGCTATAGATGTTCACAGGAATTCCTGAGTTTTTTATCCCCTTCCTGTCGAGAGAAAACCACATACCTCCAGATGTGTTGATAATCCAAAAACATCAGATAGAATATTGAAACACTGACAGGGAACATTTTACTGCACAGTGACTGTTTTTATACATTTAGCTGACAATACTTACATACTTTTACACACATGAACTCTTGAACACTTCTTCCACCACCACTGTCTAGACCAGTCTAACATGCAGCTGTACAGTCTCCTCCAGAGGTTATGACGCTTTGCAGCCTTTTATCTGTTTATCATATTTGATGCTGATGTTTTCTCCGTCCTGTCCATCTCTCAGAGACCAGCTTCCTCCTAGGAAACGCCCAGATCGTGGAGTGGCCTGTAGTTTACAGCAATGACGGATTCTGCAAACTGTCTGGCTTCCACAGGGCTGAGGTTATGCAGAAGAGCAGCACATGCAGGTGAAATTCATGCTTATATTTTGTATTATAATTGATCATTTAATCATGTGAAATGTGCACCATTATTGTTGTTTAAAGCTATGGTCTACGTTTAGAAAGATTGATCATTATTATTAACATCATTTAGATGGTGGTTATGGCCCAATAGTGCTAGCTACACAATGTGAAGAGCAAAAGGAACCAAAAAAATCCATTCTCTCTGGTGGCTGCAGGCCTGCAAAGAAATTGACCAATCATAGCCATCCGGTCCTCATGGGAGTTACTCCTTGCTCAAATTTGCGCTCTCTCTCTCTTACCCTCTGTCCAATCCTCTTGCTCCATTTTGACACTCCTCTGCTCCTCGTCCCGCCTCGTCCCAACCCCCCTCCGCATTTGAAAGTACGAGCGGTTTGTAAGGCCCTCGGGATGGGCGTGCTGCAGTTTGTCTACAATGGTTGCTAAGCTACTAAGAGCAATGCGGACGTTAGCATCTGGTGGTATGTAGACAGCTGAGAAGGTGACAACACTCTGTTCCCGGGGAAGGTAGAATGGTCTGCAGGACATTGAGAGAGCCTCAAGGTCTGAACAACAATGGTGAGCAATGATCCTGCTGTTGTTAGACCAGAGCCCCCCTCCTTTCCTCTTACCGGACTCGATGTTTCTGTCCTGCTGGTGGCTAGTGCAGCCTGCTAGCTGCACCGCAGCATCAGGTATGAGCGTGTGAAGCCATCTTACCGTTATGATCATAATCCCACAGGTCTGTACGTAGCGGTTAGAGGCAATCAATAGCTCCAGTTCGTCCATTTTGTTCGAAATAGATCTGGCGTTTCTCAGGAAGCTGCTCGGCAGTGACGGAGTGTGAGGGTACTTCTTTAGCCTAGCCAATATCCCTGAGTGCCTTCGTTCCCTTCGGCGTCTGCGTCGCTTACTCAGGCAGCAGATCCACAGTGACTCCGCAGGTCTGCCGATGGTGTCCGGGATGTTGTGTACCCTTTGAAAGTCTCTCGTGATGTCAACCTTGCACTTCCAGCTGATGTCGATAATGTCCTGCCGACTATACACAAAATCTGCTCGACATGAGCAGAAAAACGCGGACAAAACTACATATACGAGAAAGTTAAGAGCTGCTGCGCTCGCGCGCGCCGCAGTGTTCTGTCTCCTCAGTTCCTTTGATCGATGGAGAAGGCTCCGGCAAGATCTGGGCCTGAAAAGTGATGCTGAAACAGCGGAGTTTTTGTTGAACAGGTAATATTTAGTTTTTATTGTGGATGCTGTGACATAGATAACTGTATGCTATATGTAACTGTATGTTGCTATGTGGGGGGGGGGGTGCTTTTTTCAAATCTTTCTCATCGTCTTTATAAACGTAGACCATAGCTTTAAGTTTTGTTGCTTGCACTCAAAGCTTCACTAAGTACGCTGTCATTTCATGTGTGTAATTCCTTTACATTTGCATACACTCTCCTACTGGATGTATAGTAAGCGTATGTATTATTTAACCCCTGGGTTTATGTGTTTTTAATGGTTTAATGCTTCATTTAAAGCGGAACTAATAAAAACCAATATATTTTTTCACAGCAGCAGCTTCTTTATGAGATAAAACCACACCATGAGTCATTGTTTTTAAAACTAAAACCGTGTCCTTTTTAAAGTGCTCCATTTATCTTGCAAAAATCACTGAATATATCCTATTTATTCAGTTTCATCCATTATTTAAGGGCTGCGTGAGGGCGAGGGAGAGGGAAAGAGAGTGAAAAGATCAGAAAGTGACAATCTTTTGTACCTTCCTGCTTCTGCCAGTGATCATTAAAGCCGCTCAGCGCTGCTCTGGAGAGCTGTTTACATGATCCTAACTCCGTTTGCTGCTTGATGTGATTGCTGCTCCTATATCATGCAAGGAAAGTGTGAAGCTCAGCAGAGTCACACTATAGAGGAAAAAAAAGCATCTGGAGTTTCCACTTGGTCTAAGGGAGAGAGGCAGAGGCAGAGATGGCACACCACTCAGTGAGAGTCTGAAATTAATCCAATTTCAAGCTGCCGGGGGAGCTCTGCCCGGTCCAGCTTGAGGACGGTGTCTTGCTTGCCTGTCAGTCAGGACGTTTTAAAATTTGACTCCAAAGGACGACTCCTCTCCTCAGGCGCCTCTCAGATCTGACCGGGGGTGATGGCCTTGACTAGCCGGCGGCTAAAAAGCCTCTCCTCAGACACCGAGCTAAGTGAGAACAGGGACACTGGGATTTATCCGTCCACTCCCTGCTGCTCTGGGCTGAGGAGGACACTGAGACCGACAATCCACTCAGACGTGACACTCAAAGGACAGAGGAGCCCACTGAGAGCTTGAACTTACAGGCTGCTGCCAAGGTGATGGAAAACGGGGGCTTAATAATGGAGTCCAACTTCATTTTTGGGGAGTTATTTTTGATCTTTTGACTCCAGTACAATTGTGAGACTTCTGTGACACTGGTGCAGACGTATCAGTGATTCACATAATAAAACTGGGGTTAGAGCAGGTCACATGCACTGTGGTGTAAAGAGACAAGTGAGTGCTATAAACTGGTGGCTGCCAATTTTTGTCAGGACCCTCTAATGGGTCACAGGTGAGCAGCAACCTATGAGGCTGCAGTGAAGCTAAAAACTACAGTTCATTGAATGGCCACTTGAGGCTGACTCGCAGAGAGAGTCAAAGCCCATGTTAAAATGTCCAACTTTACAGCAGAAATAAAAAAATTGCAGCCTGGTACAGCAATGCTTTTGGTCCCTAAAGCATTGCTGCTAAATTCACACCCCATCCATGACAACTGTCATGGATGGGGTGTGAATTTGGGGTGTGAATTTGTATATAAATCACTAATTTAAATTTAATTAAGGCATAAAGTTATGCTTAATTAAGGACCATGGAGGGGACAGTAGTGACGATCTGATGATGTATGAAGTGTGAAAAAACAGTACAAAAGACTGGACCAAAGAAACAAGTGCATAACATGGCACCATTCCTGTCACATTGTGGTTGATCTCAACCTCTGCTCAGAAGGTGAGGAGCTCCCGGACCTCCCCGATATGAAGACATTTTCAACTGCTCTTCCTCTTTGAGTTAGCTGCTAACTGCTGCTAGCTGCTTTTTAAATCTCCTGGTGGTGGGTTTCACACTTAAAACAAATAAGTCAGCACACCAAGTAGCTCCTGTTTCGAAGGATTTTAATGCAGAGTGGCGTTTCAAGCCACGTACCTCAACCTCAGACTTCTAATATGTGATAGAAAGTAGCCATCTTAAAAATATGGAGGCAGCACTATGGGTATTTTAGAAGGCAACTTTTTGTAGCAGAAGTCTGAGGTAGAGCTGTGTGGCTTGAAATGTCATTCTGCGTCAAAATTCTTCTGTTTTCTTTCTGTTTAATTGTTTATTCATCTGTGCATTTTTTTCTATTATTATCTGACTATTTATTTGTCTGCATGGTGTTGTTTTGTCAGTTACAAAAAAGGGTACTTTGCAAGTGGCTTTGCACCTGATGATTTCTTTTTCTGAATTTAAATAAAAAGGAAAAATTACATTAATCCCTCTAAATGGGAGCTACTTGGTGTCCGGACTTATTTGTATTAAGTATGAAACCCACCGCCAGGAGATTTTAAAATTTAAAAAGCAGGAAGTAGCAGTTATCAGCTAACTCAAAGAGAAAGAGGCCTCTTTGGCTTGCTGGTCACTTCTGGCTCCAAAAATCCAAAATAGGGACGGCAGAAATGCCTAATTTGAGGTTTCAAAATGGAAGTCCACAATCCAGTGGGTGACATCGCATGTCCATTATTTTTATACAATCTACGGTCACAGGTTGAATCTGAGATGTCACTAGATGATTAAAGTGATAGGAAAGAAGAAAAAAACAAGTGACATATTTGGTAGTTTCACCACTTTGAGCCTTGAAACAATCCAAGAAGTTCTGAAGCAAAACTCAGTCTTTAGTAGAACTGCTCATGATTCATAGACGACCTGTGATGAGGGACCACTGCTGCTGTTTATAGGCATTAGCTGTAATTCATTAAAGCTGAGCCCTCTTGCTCTGTTAGTGTCCCAAAATCCCCAAATTTCCTTTCAAATTACTGTTAATATACTGAAATTTAATTATGCAATGAAACTTTAGGTAAAAGTTCAAGCAGGAAATACAATTATCATTCTTGTTTTATCATCTCTGGAGCTCCACTGGGTTCCCTCTCAGATCATGAGCATCTCAGCTAAAGGATATTTAAGCTACCTTACCCATTTCTTCTCTCCGCTGTAATTGCAGTCTGTACTGCTATAAATCGATCTACTAATCAACAGAGTTAATGCAAAGGTCTCTTTAGGCGAGGCAGCTTTATTTGTGTAGCACATTTCATACACCAGGGCAGTTCAGTGTGCTTCACGGAGAAATAAAAATACAGCAATGGTAAAAGTGTTATAATTACAAAAGTGCAAAAGTACCACCAAGCAATTAAAGAGAAACAAAGTTTAAAATGCAGGTTGAATCAAGTGAAAATAAAGAGACAAAAGAGCACAGCAAATAGTCTTACATTTACAGTAGATACATGATTAAATTAAATTAAAAACGATTGAATTAAGCATTCTTTCACAATTGAAGCTGGCAAAAACAACTCCATTATGGAGGTTCATATACAATTTTTATTTTAAATGTCCCATGTTCAGGAAATAGTTGTTTAATACATTTTTATTTAAAGTTCTCAGTAGAGTTGGGCACTGAACCGAGCAAATTACCCAGTACTGATTCATGTTGGTGCAGTGGTTAGCACTGTGGCCTCACAGCAACAGGGTTCCTGGTGGGTGGGGTGTCCAAACCCCTGGTGTTGGGGAGCCCCTCTGTGCTGAGTTTTCATGCGCTTCCTGTCTCAGCGTGGGTTTCCTCCAGATGCTCCAGCTTCCTCCCACAGTCCAAAGACATGCAGGTTAATTGGTGACTCTAAATTGTCCGTAGGTGTGAATGTGAGTGTGAATGGTTGTCTGTCTCTATGTGTCAGCCCTGTGATAGTCTGGTAACCTGTCCAGGGTGAACCCTGCCTCTCACCCAGTGTCAGCTGGGATAGGCTCCAGCTTCCCCATAACTCCTAACAGGATAAGTGGTTACAGAAAATGAATGAATGATTGATTCACGTTAAATCAGTTGGTGCCAAATGTCTGTACCTGTGAGCACTTCTCGGTGAGAACGCTGGGTTTTGACAGGAGGTGGAAGTGAGGCGAAGTGCCCTGAAGCCAGCAACAGATCTCTGAGGCCTGCAACAGAGCTTCGCATAGCTGCCGGATTCAACTTCAGACATTAGACAATAGCGCTGTAAAGCAGGGAAGCCAGCCTGTGAGCTCTGCAGCCACTCCTACGACTCCCAAGCGTGCCAAAACAATCGCTGCAGCACTGATCTGTCGTGGTAGTTTCAGCATGTGGTTCATTTTCTTTTCTATATTCTTTTAGCAATAGCCTACTATCACTGCTAGTCAGGCAGACACACACTCACACACACACACACACACACACACACACACAAATAGAGACAGAAGATTAGCTCTATGTGTAATTAGAAAAGAGCAAAGGAGCAGAGCTGCTTTTATTATTTGCTACACCATCCCTTCAGCTTAATCAAAAATAACGTTCTTGTTATTATAGAGAAAGTAAAGTACTGAAACAGGGATTATTGGATACTGGTGCCAAAGTATGGGTATTGATTAAAATGTGAACTGTACCCAACTCTAGTACTCTGCGCTGTGGTGTTTCTGCTTTGAGCTTTTCTGTTAATGAACCAAACCACTACGAAAAAATTAACCTGTAAGATTATTAACAACATCTCTGGAGTATTATAGCCGGTAATGCACTTGGTGTGATTGTGCTGAATTGGCGGCCATGTTTAGATTCCTCATCCATTTTTAAAACATATGAAGTAAGAATATCCCCAATAATGACACGAGGAACTGGAAAATGTTCTCTGTGATTTTCTTAGTGATCTATAAGCAGGAAACATATACTGTGAACTGGATACATATATTTTGTTATTTAACTGCACCTCTGTGTGTGTGTTAGTCCTTTAAGACACTGCGGCTGTTGAGAAGGAAAGTAATCACTCAGACTAATTATATTAGCACAGATTAAAATGTCCTCAGCCTTTTAAGGAATAATTACAACCATGCCGGGAAATGCAGGCTGCACCAATCCACAACCAATCCTCAATCCTTCACTGTGGGCGGAATTTATGCTGCTGCTGCTTCAATGCACTCTATAAAAACCAAACATATAACTTAATGGGACACTTGATGGTAAAGTAACAGATCGACAAACATATGTGATATACTGTAACACAGGGCGAAAGGCTAAAGGATCACTTCAGTATTGATCGCTGCTGTTTCTCACACCGCCTGTTTCCTTTTCCAGTTTTATGTACGGAGAGCTGACGGACAAGAAGACCATCGACAAAGTCAGACAGACCTTCGACAACTATGAGTCCAACTGCTTCGAAATCCTGCTGTACAGAAAGAACAGTGAGTGCCAGCTTGCTTCATTACTTGACACTGTCTCTTGACACGAGGATATAAAATGAGAGCTGACCATTATTTCCATTATCCAATAAGTTCTCTCTTTGATTAACTGTTTTGACAGAAAATGGTAAAAAAAAAAAAAATGCTCATCAAAGTTTCCCACAGCCCAGCATGACGTCTTGTTCTAAAACCCAAATATATTCAATTTGCATGGATTTAAACACAGAAAGGCAGCACATTATCACTTTAAAGAAGTTTGCACCAGCAGATGTTTGGCATTTTCCCATGCTGAATTACTGAATCATCTTCTAAACATTGTCATTAATCATTTTCAGCCATAACGCCCTGTTAACCTTCACACTAAAGCTATCGCTCAGTTTAAAATTATGTAATAATCCTTTTAATATATTGTGTACATCACTTTAAATTTGACTTTTTAACAGGAACTCTATGCGATATTCAGAGTGTATCTATGATTCAGAGGTTGTCTCCCCATGGCTCTCAACATGGAGGTGGCTGAGCCGGCAGCTAGTATTTGATGATGCAAACAGCTCGTACAGTGCTTACAACGGCAACAGTGCTGACAGAGCCGCGCTGGAAATAGACATTGATGCAAGGGGGGGGAATCTGAAGGGTAAGCGCTATGCTTCTGTAGTGCTGCTGTCTCGATACCAGGAGTAACCGCCAAATAAGCTCAGTGATGGCAAAAGTGATGGCAGTTAGCTAGCCATTGGGAGTGTGTATTTGTTCTCTGATCAGGACGCCATTACTCCACTATATTGTTACACAGTAAATAGTGGTTAGCTGCTATATTGATGCTCTGAATATCATGTAAATAGGCAGAGGTTGCTGAGGTAGTCAAAAAACTCCCCAGCAGCAGATGAAATTCGCCCTGAGATGCTGAAGGCTCTGGATATTGTTAGGCCGTCTTGCCTGACACGCCTTTTCAGTGTCGCGTGGAGGTCAGATACGGTACCTGTAGAGTGGCAGACTTTGGTGGTGGTCCCCATTTTCAAAAGAAAGGGAGGGTGTGCTCAAATTATCGAGGTATCACACTGCTCATTCTTCCTAGGAAAGTTTATTCCAGGGTGCTGGAAAGGAGGCACTGAAACCTCAGACTGCTGAACTCCAGATTCAGAAGGAGCAAGGCAGATTCCATCCTGGTCGTGCAACCCTGTGTGAGGGGTCGTGGGACTTTGCCCATCCAGTCTAGACTTACAACCATGTCCCGCGGAGAGGAAGGTCTAGGGTGCTTTGCTTGACCTGCTGCCCCGCTGCCACAGCAACACGAATCTGGATAAGCTGATGAAAATGGATGAATATGATGTAGAGCTTCTCTAATAATACAGATTGTGTTATTGACCTATTAATGCCATACTCTCATTCGAGGCTTCTTGGTGCTAACTAACAGGTCTTTTTGCTTTTCTAAAGTTTATCCAAAGAACTAAAAATGACCAAGCTATTATTGTTCTGGCTCCTTGGCTCTTTTCTTGGCTGTTTTTAGCCAACTGGCTCTGATATACCCACTGTACACTATACCTGCTCAGCAGCAAATGGCACTCAGGCCCAATAAGAGACCAGCTGGTGAACATGGTGAAGCATTTAGCAGCTGAAGAGTTAGTGGAGACAAAAAACAGAGCTAAAAGAGATTTGATTTATTTATTTATTTTTATTTATTTTATTTATTTCGAACATGTAAACCATACAGCACTGAAATCAGACAAAAAAGTAAGTGAACAAGAAAATACTATTAATAATAGAAAATAATAATAAAAAGAACAAAGCAAACGACACAATTAAAAAGAAAAGTTACATCCAACATAAGTCAACATGCTCGAAAAGGAGTAGAATGAAGTAAAAACTAATTTTTGGACTTACATCCATCAGCTGGACACAAACACCACTCCAGTGGGACTGCTGGATGTGTAAATAAGCAAATATTTGGGAATGAGTCTGCCATATTACTTTAAAAGGTGATAATATGTCTGTGTTATGTTCACAGCTGATTTCTGCTGCCCCCAAGTGGCCAAAAAAAATCTGTCAATGCAGGTTTAACAACTCATAAATTTGTAGGTTCTGAGGAATGCTGGTGTTAACTTTTCTCTTGTGTAGATAGATTTTTTTTATGCCAATTCTTTTGTCGAAACATCCTCTATGTTTTAAGATTTTGCCATTTTTGCTGATATTCAATTTTTTTTCTTTCTTATGTTGTGATTTTTTCGACTTCCTCTTGACGTCCTTGTTCAATTTATTCGTCCTCTACAAGTTTGAGGTTGGGTGATTTACTGCTCATATTATATGCCAGATAATGGACAGATCAATGGATAGAGGTTAGATAAAACCCTTAAAGGGAAGTGATGAATGATTCAGTAAATCTTAATGTAAATGAAATAAAAAATATGGATGAAATAAAACTTCAACAGGTCGACTAGCGTTCGAAAAATAATTCTTCTATCCAGTGTGATGGAGCAGCATTATGGTGAGTAGTAAATTCTGGATCAGCAGTGTCGATGAGGACCACAATGGACAAAGTGTGCGGACAAAAATAGTCTTGAATGTTCCTGTCTCCCAAGTGTGATCACCCAAAAGCGCAAAATGCGAGGTGTAGGAGCGCGAGGCGGGGATACTGAAACTGTAAAAAGTGAAGGATCAATTTTAAAGTGGCTCAAATTTGCTGACACATCATGAAAAATGGGGCTCTTTTGGAGGCTGGATATAAATGAGATGGATGATGACTACGAATAACTTGTACCCACAGAAATTATGGCATAAGGTCTGTGTAACTTTGTTGAGCTTTGGCTCCCCCGAAAGTCTGTAAGGAGGTAGTAAAGTCACGAAAACTTCAACTCGTTCGAGGCTCTTGTGTATAAAAGAACAATGAGTTCCTTTAGAGTTATAACTTTGACATGAGGTTGTTAAAACCACATCTGTTTGAATATGGTTAATCTCAACAGCGTGTAAGAAATGATCAACATCGTGTTCATTGACAATAAGGAGAGTAGAAGGATCAAATTGTTCTTTATAAAGATTTTTGGGTACATCAGGTAACGCACTTCATTGTTACTTGTACTGAAAGCATAAAAGGATCTGTGCTACAGAATGAAACAGCTCAATTTTCATTATGTTCATCTCTAAATGTCATCTAACAAATGTGAGATGAATGTTGATTTTTGATAAATGTGATACTTAAACTGTGCCCCTATTCCAAACTACATACACTCACCGGCCACTTTATTAGGTACACTTGTTCAACTGCTTGTTAACACTAATAGCTAATTAGGCAATCACATTGGAGCAACTCAATAAATTTAGGCATGTAGACATGGTGAAGACGACCTGCTGAAGTTCAAACTGAGCAGGCTGTGGTGTTTAAACCATGCTCAGTTGGTACTAAGAAAATCTCCCCCACACCATTACACCACCAGCAGCAGCCTGAACCGTTGATACAAGGCAGGATGGATCCATGACGCCAAATTCTGACCCTACCATCTGAATGTGGCAGCAGAAATCCAGACTCATCAGACCAGGCAATGTTTTTCCAATCTTCTATTGTCCAGTTTTGGTGAGCCTGTGTGAATTGTAGCCTCAGTTTCCTGTTGTTAGCTGACAGGAGTGGCACCTGGTGTGGTCTTCTGCTGCTGTAGCCCATCTGCTTCAAGGTTGGACGTGTTGTTGGTTCAGAGATGGTCTTCTGCAGACCTTGGTTGGAACCAGTGGTTATTTGACTTCCTGTTGCCTTTCTATCATCTTTAACCAGTCTGGCCATTCTCCTCTGACCTCTGGCATCAACAAGGCATTTTGGCTCACTGGATATTTTCTCTTTTTGGGACCATCCTCTGTAAACCCTAGAGATGGTTGTGTGTGAAAATCCCAGTAAATACTCCAGCCCATCCGGCACCAACAACCATGCCACGTTCAAAGTCACTTAAATCACCTTTCTTCCCCATTCTGATGCTCAGTTTGAACTTAAGCAGGTCGTCTTCACCATGTCTACATGCCTAAATGCATTGAGTGGCTGTCACGTGATGGGCTGATTAGCTATTTGCATTAATAAGCAGTTGAATATACCTGATAAAGTGGTCGGTGGGTGTAGATGCACCATTGAATCCTATAACATTTGTGGAGCAGATTAACACTTAGGCAGTTGAGGGTTGAATAAAGTGGATAGTGCGACATCGACGTAGCTTCTTCTATTTTTGTCTCTCCATTCTCTCAAAGGTCAGCTCTGTCAGGACAGCTTTCTCATGGTCAACAGTGCAAATATGGGTGTCAGAGTTGACAGGAAAATGAATCAACAACAATTTCAGCAATGGATAAATCTTTTAGGTCATTTATACCAAACAAAAAACAGCTACTGTTCTCTAATTTCAGCCTCAAATGTGAGTTTGCTGCTTTTCTTTGTTTATATCTTTACAAAGTTTTTCCACTGTTGATTGGACAAAAAAGGCATTAAAAGACGTCACCTTGTGCCCTGGGAAATCTTCACTGTCTCCTCACACTGTGCATCGACTAATAATCAAAAAACATATTAACAGACCTAATTGGGACACAGCTAAGATTGTCTAATGTCTCTGCAGGAAGTCCAGTGTGGTTCTACATGCAAGTTGCTCCCATCAGGAACGAGAATGACAAGGTGGTTCTGTTTCTCTGCACTTTTAAGGACATCACTCTCTTCAAACAGCCAATTGAAGACGAAACCACTAAAGGTGAGTGTTTCTCTGCGACAGGCAGGTGGTTTTATTCCAAGAAGCTCCCCAAAAGCATCTCTCCACAAATGGCAAACTCTCTCTTTGTTTTTGATGATTATGTTTGGCAGGAAGTCTGTTTTATTATTAGATAATTCACAGTAGAATTTCAAAAAGGGTAGAGACATGATGTGGGACCAGAAATCTTTGATGGATTTGAAAACGTGATGTTCTGAGTACATGATGTGCAGCTGAGTGTACTGAACCACTAGAGAAGGTGATTTTCATGGTGTCTCTGTTTTAGTAGATAGTACATTACAGGAGAGAAGGAACAGTACGGGGGATGACATGTGACAAAATTTGTGAGTGGGAACCAAATGAGTACATGGCTGCAAAATGTAATGCCAGTTGGCATCTGACGGGACATGCAATTATTGTTCATCCTCCTCCTTTGGCTTCTTGTTCTTCTTCGCTTGTCATTTTCAGTCTCTGGCTTTTTATTTATCTCCTTTTTTGTGCTCTTCCATTTTTTTCTGCCTCATTCTTCTCACTCATACTGATGTCCTCAGTCTCTGTCTTGACCTTCCTCTTTATCATCTTCTTTATCCTCTTTTTACGTTGTCTCGTTCCACTGTTACAGCTGTACTTTGGCATGCTAACATGCTAAACTAACATAATCTACATGTATGCATTATGCCTGTGAAACATCAATACAGTAAAAATTCAATTAGTAGCCTGGGCTTTATTTGCTCAAATCACTGAGGTCAACAGGTTTATACTTGGGACAGGCAGCAAAACTGTTGCTCAGCAAAGATGGCAAAAAAATCACATTTTTTATTTATTTTAATCAGTATGATTATACCTGTATAAAAATTAGGCTTTGGAAAACATTTACAATTTATTCATTTAATCTAGCTTCAACAGACAAGGCATCAGAGAGAGACAAAATTATGACACTCTTTTTACAGCACACAAGAATTATGGCACCCAGCATACCGACCCAACACCTCTTTATCCTGTTATAACAATACTCACAACTTAGATTCATTTTTATGAAAAACCCTCCTCATTCTTTCATCAGTGGACCCTTACGGACTGATAGAATATGAATAGCTCACTGGGTTATCAAGGAATGGACACGTAATCTGACTTTACAACAGCTTCAGAGGAAGGTAGTCACCATTTTTTTGTCATGCCAGTAAATCTCAATGAATTACAGTCTTCTTTGGTGCTCATGGTTTCAATAAAATGAACTTAACAATTTCAGTTTTGGAGAATCTAACTTAGCTTACAATGTGTAGCATCTCCATATTAACAAACGTTTAAACATTTATATCTGTATGCTAACTGTTAGCTCAGGTGGGTAGCCAACAACCAGGTTTTATACATCCAAAGAACTTCTATAAAAATGAGCTGTTTGGCAACCAGACCAGGCCTCTAATTGAGACAAGCCTTTATTTCAAAAAAGGGTAATAAAAGGCAGTGGGCATTTAATTGGGACTAGGCTTTCAATTAAAGTTCTGTTTAATTTAATTCAATTCAATTCAATTGTATTTATAAAGCCCAGTCCCCACAGTCCTACTGTTGTGTCCCCCCAGTGTCGGCCCATGCCGCCTGTGTCTCGGCTTAACTTTTGCTCTTGCGCACGCCGCAAAGACCACAGCCATCTAGCACCTATGTTCTGCACCTGCGTGAGACGAGATAACTCTCATAACTAGCAGGTGGCAGTGGTTTGTATTGGTCATTCAAAAAGGGAAACCTGAAGACTGATAGGATGGATTCAACATGCTATTTAGCCAGTTAGCACATTTACAACACAGCCCAATGTTGAAAGAACAAAGGATGTTTACCGTGCACTTGAGAATGATAACACACACAATTATGACCCATTTCTGCTGAACAGCTCAATGGCTAAAAAAACAAATTTTTACCTTTATATAACAAGACTTTAGTCAATTGTTTACTTTCCTCACTTCTGTTTCTCTTCTTGTGCACTGAGCTGAACAGCCAATCAAAGTGCTTTCACTAATCGACAGGCTTCATTGCAGGTTCAACATGCTGAATTGGCTGACAAGCCGCCGACAAGGGCTGATGAGTGTCAGTGGTGCGGGACACACAGCAAAAACTATGGTGACAGATGCTCACCAACGGCCTGACATTGACAAACAGCTGGCAGTTGGCCTGGTGTGACAGGGCCCTCAGTCCTGTCTTCTTCTCTTTCCTCACCCTTCTCTTTATTCTCTCCTCTCTCAGCTTATTTTTTATTCCTCCAGAATCTTCTCCTCTTTCTGTTTTGGTTGGTAGTTTATCTTCCTCTTTACTCTGTTCTTCACCTCTCACTCATATTCCTCCTCCCCGATATTTTCATGCTCATGGTTTTGTATCATCTCATCCTCCTTTTTTCTTTTTATCCCCCTCTTGTTGATACTTTTTCACTCTCCTCTGTCCCCTTTATCATCCCCTTCATATTTTCTTTTGTCTCAATTGTTCCCCCTCTTTCTCCTTCTTCCTAAAACTCTCCTCTTCCTCCACCTCCTTGTGCTCCTTCATCTCTTTCACTTCCTCCTCCTTCTCCCCCTTCTTCCTCTCCTGTCCTTTCTCTCCCACTGAGAAGTCTCTCAACATTTTTGCTGGCTGCAAATCTTTTCCCCTCCACTCTTTATTTCATCCCAAGCTGCGGCTGGATGAAAAAGAGCGAGTCAAGTCTTGTTTCCCTGCGATGCGGGAACGTCTCGAGCTGTCAGGTTGTGTTTGAGGAGGTTGGGATGCTGTCAGGAATCACGGGAGATGTGGGTGGCGGTGTTGTCCTCTGTGCCTTGACTGATACACAGTGTCAGCTTCCTGCCCTGGGAGTCGTCGTCGGCGTCGCTGAGCGGGTGTCTTTGCCCTTTGACAAGGATCCCTCACCCTTCCCCCGTCCCCCTTCTCAATGCACAAACAAACAGTATGTAAACACGTGTGCACACATGCAGGGAGTTACGACCCCCTTCCTCCCCCCTGCCGCAGAGACCTGCTCGGAGTTGTCGTGTGATTTGTTTATTCATTCATTATGTGTGCTTGGCGACATGTGAACAACATGGGTTGAACATGCAATTAGAGCTTGACTGGAACTAACATTGTCACATCAGTGCGTTGACGTCTTTGCCAGTTTGCTGCTGCTTCTGATGATGGTGTGAGAAACTTGAGATTTCTCTCTCTCTCATCCGTGAGTTGAGAAAGAAAAAAACTTACCAAAGGTCAGCCAGACACATTTCAGTCAAAGTAACAGTACAAAAGCCACTCAAGAAACTTACAGGGCCATATTTAAGTGATCTACTGTATAGGGCATGGACTAAAGCAGTGGTTCCCAACTGGTCAAGCCATGTGGTCCAGATTTCCTTTTCCCTTATTAGTTCACAGTCCACACAGTGTAATACATTCAGCGTCATACTTGGGTTTGGCCATGCCGTCTTGCTAGTTTGCTGTCTCTGTCAAGTAGCTGTCTACTAGTCACTCACTTTACAGCAGGAAACAGCTCTTCAAAATTGAAGCGCTGTGCCCCAAATTTACTGGGCATAAAAGTAAATTGTGTTTTTTACAAGCTTGACACGTTTGTGGGTCACTTGGGATCCATTCAGAATGGACCCAAGGTCCACTTTTAGAGTGCAGACCACCAGTTGGGAACCACTGGTCTAAAGTACATGGTGCGAGTGCATTTAGGGTGTTTCAAACTCCACTTTTGCTTGCTAAACGATGCATAATCTGGGCACAAAGTAAGGCACACCACAAAGGGGTTTTTATTTAGTCCCTCAATTAATCATAGGTCTGTTTTGGGCATAACATAAACTTAAACAATCACTGTCATCTCCTACTTCCATTGAAAACCAGATGCCCTTGCATCTGGCGCACTGCTATTTAGGTGGTGGATTTGACACATTGGCAAGGTGAGCAGTTTTCTGCAGAGAGTAATACAGTAAGAGCAGTGATGTCACTGCAGCAAATATTAAGGACATTTAGGCAGCAAAACTAAAATCTGTAGTTTTAAACTTGACAGAAGAAACTGGTCTAAACTTTAAGCTTCTGGTGTGTAAATGTTGCTCAGCGTCTCTTAATGGTGAGACAGACAGCAGCTCAGCAGCTCTGCTGTGCTCTCTGCTACTTTCATATTTTAAAGAACATATTAAATATTTCTCTCTTTAAACCATTCACGTGTCTTTATAAGTGTAACCAGCATTATGTACGTGCATTGTGAACCTGTGCATCTACTATCTGAACAATGGGCCTGTTAAATAGCAGGAAAATACTGCCCCATTCTGACTGTAGACCAGGTTTTTCTTGGTGAACGATGCAATCATTTTGTGCTGCCTAAAAATGGCAATACGCCACACCTTATTTTAAGACAGTGCGCAGATGGGCACAGGTGCTATTGCTACATTGTAGGGCGGCAGTAGCTCAGTCTATGGAAACTGGAGGGTCGTCTGTTTAAGTCCCCGTCCAGACCGAATATGGAGCGTGGATTGGTAGTTGGAGAGGTGCCAGTTCACCTCCTGGGCACTTTCGAGGTACCGAACCCCCAACTGCTCAGGGCACCTGTCCAAGGCAGTCCCCCTACCCTGACATTTAATGCATGTATAGACCCTGTTTGTGCATGTGTGTGTATATTTCGGGCCTGTGTGTATAACAACAGAGTGAAAAACAAATGAATTTCCCCTCTGGGATTAATAAAGTATAGCTTCTTCTTCTCCTTCTCCTTCTCCTCCTTCTTCTTCTTCTTCTTCTTCTTCTTCTTCTTCTTCTTCTTCCACAACATAGGTGTTTGACGAAAAAATAACAGCTGCTTTGGTCTGGAAGGTCCTCATTTTGGAGCTGGTCATGTTGTGATTCATTTTTTGTTGAATGTTGGTCAGAGCTGTTTCAGTTCCCAGCGTGGCTTCTGATTCTCAGACATTTTGAAATGAAATATTGTTGCAAATGAAAAGTTAACTGCACTATTAAACAGATGGCATTTTATTGAAGTCATGTACCTAATAATAAAAAGACTT